TCTATTCTATTCTATTCTATTCTATTCTATTCTATTCTATTCTATTCATTGAGCTCCTAAACCAGATTTGATAGAAGACTTTTAGACATGTCTAGATTACAATCTTGATTGTAAGCAAGAATAAATCCATTAACAACAGTTAATTGCCTGAAGATATAAATTCCTTTTATAGCTTCAGTATTTCAACTTAATAGCTTCTTCCTCCTGGTTTTCTGAAATAATAGATACTTGTTGTTCTTGGAGGTCTTGAAACCAAGTTGCACTGTGTTTACTTAACAAGTCACCTTCATTCTAAGAATCACTGGTTCACACTTTAACCCTTATATTTATTAATCAAGGCAGGCCTATAGACATGGAAGATGCCCCTCTATAAAGTCAGACATTGCTTTCAAATTTCTTTTTCCTTCCCCCCACGCCACAAATTATATTCTAAGTTTATTTAATCATATGTACAAATGTATGACAAAAGATATTAGATACGTTAGGCCTGGAACCCTGAAAAAATGGCTCCAGGCCGCAGCAATAGCAATAGAACTTAGACTTATATACTGCTTCACAATGCTTTACAGCCCTCTCTTAGGTGGTTTACAAAATCAGCATATTTCCCCCAACAATCTGGGTCCTCATTTTACCCACCTCGGAAGGATGGAAGGCTGAGTCAACCTTGAGCCTGGTGAGATTTGAACTGCCAAACTGCAGTCAACCGGCAGTCAATATTGGACAAGCTAGATAAATAATCTGAATTGGCATAAGGCAGATTCTTATGTTCTTTCATCTATATTTTTGTTTTCTACAGGGGATCACACATATAGGTTACTCAGACCTGCCCAGCAGAATGGCTACGCAAGCTAGTACCTTGTATTCAAATAACATCACAAAGCTCCTAAAAGCCATCAGCCCAGACAAGGAAAACTTTTACTTTCACATAAAGGATGAATTTGATTATGGCACCCTTGACCACGTTGTTAGAGGAACAGTGGTAATGAAGGTAAAGGCACTCTTTCTCCCCCTGAAGCTGAAGATGTATATTTTATTTAAGTAATCTTATTTATAGCTCTGTATTTGAATTTCCTGTGAGTGAAATAGACTCATTCCCATTTTGAAATATATTTTGCAAGGAGAGGAGCTTATTTTTCATTTATTATTTAAAATTAATAGTATTTCCCAGTGCTGTTGATGTGCTACTTGTTCAGAGTATCGCAACATAAATTCAGTGCCAGAAACATAAATACAGATGACTCAGGCTTCATTTAACTTCTTTAAAAAACATATGAAGTAAATTTTACAATACCAGTTGAGATTTCTCCAACACGGAGCAAACTCAAACAGAAGCAGACATGTTACATGTTCAGAGCAGAACAGCAACTCAGGAGCTCAGAAACTGACATCAGTTTCACTTTAGTTCAGCAGGGAAGCAAGACACACAGCAGAGGAGAGAAGCAGTTTCATTTTCAATAGACAAACTCAGAGCTTAACATAACTTCAGAGCTGCAGAGCTTAATATAGAGTCACACCTAGGCTGCTTCTTGTTTCACTTTCCAAATAGTCCTCATTGGCTGACTTAATTGCTATGCCTATTCATTGACTCTGTTAAATATGTCTCTGCCAGTTAATGAATACGATTTTGTCAGCATCTCTGACTTCAGAAGGATTAAAATATGGATTGCTAGTTTTTAACGCTTGAAAAATCTGTTTGAGGTGGTCATTATAATTAATATTTATTTATTTGATTTCTGCAGCCACCCATCTCAAATGACTCTCAGCAGCATACACTGTAAACATGTAAAACAATACAGAATACATGGTGACGAGTAAAATTGGGGACAGGGAATTTCCCATTCAACATTTTTGGTTACATATTTCTCCTTTCCTTTTAACCCAATTGGATAAGAAAAAGAAGGCCCAAGGATATAATAGGTATAAAGAGTTAGGAAATGGAAGGCAAAGAAAATCTCTGTGCATCTGTGTATTAGACAAAATTAATGAGAAAAATATATGGCTTTGATTAAAGTGGTTAAAGTTTAATTGAGAAATATAAATACCTCTATGCCATGGAGAGGAAGATCTTTAGGATTCCCAAGTATGATACCTATAATATTGACAGTCTACTGAAATACTCATGAGTAGCTGCCACTAGTAGCGATGGGAAAAATGTACATTGAAGGCCCTGGATCTTCGTTCCTCTGACACCCCCATAACATCAGCCTGAAATTGCTCCAACCTTGGAGTTGATCTACTTTCCGCCAACCAAATTCAGCAGAATAGGAATCAAAGTATTGTCTTCTGCAATAGGAAAAGTTTGTAGGTGTATTAATTATTCTACTCTGGAATTCATTACCAAAAGACAAATTGCCTTGTCTATTGCTTTGTCTGTTACCTTAATTTATCCAGCCAGGTGCTTCCCCAGGCATTAGGATTGCAAATCAGATTATCCTAGTCAGTAGTTTTGAAGGAGTATGGGAGTTGGAGCATTATCACAGTGCTCTGTTGCCAAAGATTCCTTAATCAAAAAGTTAAAAGAAACCTTCTAGATATCAAAGTCACCGCTTCTTTAATATTTTCCTTTTTATTTGTCTATTGCAACTTTGAAGATAATAGGGCCTCTGGAAGGTTTCGTTGACTCAGAAATTGTGGTTTTTGAATCATTAATATAAATCACTTGATCTTTTAATTAAGTCCTTGGTTCTTTTTTCTTCTTAGGATGGGAAAGTGATTTTCCCAGCGCCGCCTCCTAAGAACATTCCTCAGGCAGCACCTGTGAAGCAGAAGACAGTGGCAGAGTTAGAAGCAGAGAAAGCTGCTACTGTTACACCTTTCAGGAAAACAATGACCTCTGCTTCTGCCTATTCAGCAGGTGAGAAACGAGTGCCACTCTTTGGCTTCCCTGGAATTTGCTGACACAGTTAAGGGCTGGCCTTGCCCAATCCAAGAAAATGCAACCTTCTCCATTCTTGCCATGGTCCAGATGTGTGGATATCAATTCCCGGAATTTTCTTCACAGATCATATTGGCTGGAGAATTCTTGGAGTTAGACAATCCAAGATGATAGACTCAGTCATTCAAATCCAGTAGCATGACCTTAAAGCTGGCAGACTGTCAAATGGGACATCTGTTGAGCAATATAGAATTCCTGTAGGCCACATTCTTTACCATCTAATCTTGGCAGACAGAAGCAGACAAAAGAGTTTGACTCTTCTCTTTGTTAGTTCAGCCAAGACTTAGTGATTTGCAGCGAGTCAGCATTTCCATCCAGGATTAACTCCTAGATCATAGGTGTTTTCGAACAATTGATGAAGGTGTGGACAACAGGGATTTTTAGGTGTAAAGGAATGTCATTGCTTTCATTTTCTGGCTATACTGCAAATTGCCATTTTTCTCCTTGCAACTGCTAAGCTGCACCATATCACCCTCTGTTCTTTATTGCTCCAGTGTTTGCCCCCTGGCCATTTTTTTCTTTTCCATTCACCTAGATTTTCTAGGGACAGTTATTAACATCATAGATCAGATTCCTGTCTCCAGACGTCTTCTAGGATCAGTAAAAATTAAAGTGGGGTGCCCTTCATCTAGATCAGTGATGGCAAACCTTTTTGTTGTGGTGTGCCGAAAGCACGCGTGCATGCCGGCACCCACAATGCAACACCCCCTGCGCCCCCGTGCATGTGCGCGCAATACCTCCGCCGTCCCATTACCGGCACTGCGTGTGCCTCCCAGCTGATTTTTGCCCCGTTTGAGGCCTTTTTCGGCCTCCCAAAGGCTCGAGGGAAGCCTCTGCAGCCTTTGGAGGCCGAAAAACAGTCCGTTTTTTGGCCTCCAAATACCAGATGTGACGAAACGGGAAGTACGGAAGTGACCAAACGGCCTGTTTTTCGGTCTCCAAAGGTTGCAGAGGCTTCCCTCGAGCCTCTGGGAGGCCGAAAAAGACCTCAAATGGGCTGAAAACCAGCTGGGAGGTGCGCGCATATGCAGTGCAGGTAAGTTTGGCTGCGGCTCCTGTGCCCATACAAATGGCTCTGCATGACATCTGTGGCACGTGTGCTATAAGTTCGCCATCACGGATCTAGATGCTTTTCTGACAGGTGTCTTAAGTGTTAAGGGGTAAATCCCTTTAGAATCATACCTCTGGCAGTCTTGCTTGGAATGGTGAACTCATTTATTCAGGGCTGTGTTAGACAAGGCCCTGGAAACGGATGCAAAACTGAGTGGCTGTCTCTAATGAGAATACACTATCAACGGTTTAAGGGAGCTGTTTTCCATAGATAGCCAGCCAGTTAGTTAATGTATATTTTCTGCCTCTAGCACCCCCGACCTGAGACAGGCAATGGTCATCTTAGCCTCCATTCACAGGGAGGTGATGACAGTATTCCAAAAGGCTGAATGTGTTTTGTTTTGTTTTACAGGACTTGCTACCGTGCTTGGGCTGGGTATTGCTGCTCCAAATTCAGCTTTTACTCAGATGGTGACAACCTTTGGCTTGGCTGGGATTGTTGGATACCACACTGTATGGGGCGTGACTCCCGCACTCCATTCACCACTCATGTCAGTGACTAACGCAATCTCAGGTATGACTATAACTTTATTGATTTGATTTGGTATTGAGGGGATTCTGGGTGGCTAGAATAAAAACAGACATACTGTGTAACAAAAACAAGAGCTAGCAAAGAAGTTAGTAAATTCACTTAATAACTCAAACATCCCACAACTTCCAATAGCCAGCAGGGTGTCCAGCCAGTCTGGGCCAAGGCCTGGGATATCAATCAGGTCTTTTAGCCCTACAGAATGCCAATAAGGTGGGAGCCACATGGATACCAGAGACAATCTTACTCCAGAAGGCAGGCACTGCAACAGAAGGGCATGCTTCCTGGATCCTGTTTGATTAAAGAGCCTGGAATACACCAACCCTGTCAGCTGAAATCAATTGGACAGACACTGTGGCAGAAAGGGAATCCCTCAAATAATGAACCATAAGCCATTTAGGGCTTTATAGCCCATAATCAGCATCTTGAATCACATCTGGAAGCAAGCTGGCAACCAGTGTGGCTTGTGGAGCAGAAGTCTCACATGGATATATCAATTGGCATAATTGGCTGTGCTGGTTCTGGACCAGGTGAAATTTCTGAGTGGTTCTCAAGGGCACAATGCATTAGAATATAAAGCATGAGTTGGCTAGGACATGAGCATCTGAAAGACGTCCCTATCCAGGAACAAGTACATTTGGTGTCAGTATTTCTTTTGAACATTAATATTTTTGTTCTTAATCGTGATTGAGAGGAAGTTTTATACATTAAAAATGAAAATATGTGAATGAAATTACAGCTGATACAGTTCATGTTTTCTGTTAGAGAATATATTCTGAAGCTCAAAGTTTGTCTTTCCTTATCTATTTTTGCCATTAGTTTGAGTGATATGTCTGAAAAGGAATAATCTAGACCTACTTCATCTTATCTACGATTTGCTCTTGTAGTCAATTAGTAATGAACAAAACCTATCAATTCAGATCCTAAACATGTTTAGAATTACTGTTGAACTTTCAATTCTTACCTCCTAGAAGCCTAACTCTCTCTCTCTCACACACATACACACACACACACACACACGGGTGGAAAGCAAAGGAGAAAGAGTACAACAGAAAGAAGGACTGAGGAAACGAAAGGAATATTTTGGCATCAGTACCATGAGGAGTCCACCTATGTAATTAAAGACTTAAAATGAATTTATTGGAGGATATGTTGGTACTAATTAGTTATGATAATCAGAATTGTGTCCTGCAAACAGAAGCGCTTCTCTTTTGCTACAAAGATTTCAGTGTTGATGTTTTTCTTTTTTCAACAGGGCTGACTGCTGTTGGCGGATTAGCACTGATGGGAGGGGAATACTTACCTGGAACTCTGCCTCAGGGCCTTGCTGTCCTTGCTGCTTTTATTTCCTCTGTCAACATTGCAGGTACCAAGCAGGTTCCTAGCTTTTCTACTTCCTATCTTCGGGAAACCTGTGTTTTCAAAAGTGGTGCTAAATAGAATAGCTCATAAGGTGCAATTTTCTTGAGCGCTTGGAGAGCCTGAGAGATTCTAGCAAACAAAGTGAGTTTGAAACTTTTGGGTAATAGCAGCAAAATACGTCAGATGTTGTAAATGGAATATCTTCCATTCTGCCTGGCTTCTTTGCATGTTTTTTGTACAATTTCTGAGCATCCGAAAGACCAGCTAACAGCCACAAGATTTTCCAATAATCTTCAGCTGATATGTTTCTTGAGGCCAGAACCATTATTTTCATGTAATTGATGGTATGCCTCAAAAGTTCCAATAATAGCAATTGTTCTGAACTATTCCTTGCTTTTCTTGCCTATATCAAAATGCTACATACATAGATAATAGTCCTTTATAGGGAAAACTGACAATTTCCTATTTGATTGAATTTGTGGGTTCACTATAATAACACATTTATGTTTTAAAGTACTTTTTAAGTTTTCAGAACCTAATTATTATCATTTTTTTATTTTTTTGTGGCATAGGTGGTTTTCTGGTCACTCAGAGAATGCTGGATATGTTCAAGCGCCCTACTGACCCTCCTGAATTCAACTATTTATATTTGTTGCCTGCTGCTTTGTTTATAGGAGGATATGGAACAGCACTGCAAAGTGGTTATAACATTGAACAGGTACGAAGGTTGCTCGGGTATTATCCATAGATCCATTTTTTAAATACAAGTCTACAGTCTGGTGACCAGATTATGAAAGGCCATCTGATGCTGATTTGCTAAGGTGTAGTCAATCTTACCCTTGTCTGATGTCTTTCTATGCTTGCTAGGATGAAAAGGGAGTCCAGAACATGTAGAATAATGTTTATAGTACTTCATATACAAGTACTGAAAGTCCTTGACTTACAACCATTTGTTTAGTAAACATTCAAAGTTACAATGGTGGTGAAACAAATGACTTACAACCTGTCCTTATACTTCTGGCCACTGTAGCACCTCCAAAATCACATTATAAAAGATCAGGCAGTTGGCAACTGACATGTATTTATGATGGTTGTGGGGTCCTGTGGGGGGGCAGAGGGGGGTGTCACATGATTGTTACTTGCAAACCTCCCAAATAGTTTTACAAGCAATCAGTGGGGAAATCCAGAATTGCTTAATGACTGTGTGATTCACTTAATGTCTACAACAAAAAGCTTACAAAATCACTTAATCAATATAATGATCCCCTTGCTTAGCGACAGAAGTCCTGGTTCCAATTGTGGTTGTAAGTTGAGGACTTGCAAGAACTGTATCCTTGCAAATGGATTGGAGGCTGATGATAATTTGTGTTCCTTGTTTTGATGTGTGTTTTAAGTAAAACACTAAATAGTGTTTTACTTAAGACCAACTATTGTTTCCTTTGCTGAGATGAAATTGGAACCGGCAGTGCTCAATATAATAGTTGCACAATTAGCAGCCATGCCACAGTGATATAGCAATAGCACTTAGACTTATATAGTGCTTTATACCCCTCTCTAAGTGGTTTACAGTCAGCATATTGCCCCCAACAATTTAGGTCCTCATTTTACCCACCTTGAAAGGATGAAAGGCTGAGTCAACCTTGAGCCTGGTGGGATTTGAACTGCCAAATTGTAGGCAGATGGCTGCAGAGGTAGCTTGCAGTACTGCACTCTAACCGCTGCGCCACAGAGGCTCATGTAGCTAGTGGAATGTAACTTCTTGGTATAATCTTGGTAGGAAGAAAGAAGAAAGCTATCTTATGAATATCTTTATTTTCAAAAACTTTATTTCCTATGTTAATGCACTTCTTTAGACTGGAATGATGGTGACCTCAGTTGACGGAATTGGAAGTTGTTAGCCTCAAAAGTTCTTATACTCCTTGTAGCAATTTCAGAGGTATCTTGTTACTACACTTGAATATCAGAAACCATCTTCAGAAAAGGCTTTCAGGTTAAAAGGAGATCTTGGTTAAATTTAACCATGGTTTGTGTTGGTTCAGACAGGGATTTGGCTTCAAAGTGAAGTTGTACAGAAGGAAGTACATATTTCTTGGTATATTTCTTTATTCCCCTGAATGAAATTAGCACCTGCTTTATTCCAATGACAAAATCCATTGAGCAGAACACATCATTTTTCAGTTCTATCAGATCACAAAGCCTGATCTAGCAAAGGCAAAAAACCTGTATTGATATTTTAAAAAATGTGATCATTAATGAGCATGTTTCTTTTCCTTTGCAGCCAATCGTTATGTAAAATGTATTATGTTGAGAATTAATTTCATTGTCCAGGGGTCTTCTGTATAAATGTTATAATCAGTTCTGTCCTTTCTTGGCGCTGATAATAGTGCAACTATTTTGAACAGGCTGAACGAATGTCCTCCGGGCATTAGCCCACCCCATTGCAAACTGCCAGATTTGCTTAAAATCTCAGTTGGGCAGAAATGTATTTGAAGAGCATGGGCAGTATCTGCTGTGAGGATTTTGAAATCCAACTATGCAGTGCTTTGTACCCCAGTCAAATCTACAATTTTAAGTCCTTTCTAAAAAAAATATATATGTCTATATTATTTTCATCTTTTAAAGATGATGTACCTGGGTTCAGGATTGTGCTGTGTTGGTGCCCTGGCTGGCCTTTCTACCCAAGGAACAGCTCGACTTGGCAATGCTTTGGGTATGATAGGTGTTGCTGGAGGTTTGGCAGCTACCCTGGGAAGTCTAAAACCATCAGTTGAGCTTCTGGCCCAGATGTCGGGTGCGATGGCCCTTGGTGGCACCATAGGTAAGTGCAAAGCAAAAGGATTTGCATGATTTGGAAGACTTACCTAATTCTGTTGTGGCATTTGCAGTTAGGTGATGGGAAAGGAGGTCTACTTGAAAAAGTTATAGGAATGTTAGAATAGGATAGAAACCTGCTCCTTACCTTTTTGTGTTTAGACTCTCAGATTCCTCAGAATGTATTTCTGATTAAATATAATTAAAGGGCAAAACACCAATGACAGAGCTTACAAGTCACGCTGATGTTGAAGAAGCAGTTGTTCCTATGGTGTGTACTCTGATCTGAATTATCGAGCAATATTATCTCCTTTCACAGTTAACATGCAACTGTTTTTTGTTTCTGCAGGTCTGACAATTGCTAAACGTATCCAGATTTCAGATTTACCTCAGCTAGTGGCTGCTTTCCATAGCTTGGTTGGCTTGGCTGCTGTTCTCACTTGTGTCGCAGAGTACATGATTGAATTTCCCCATTTTGCAACTGATCCAGCTGCAAGCCTCACAAAGATTGTGGCCTATCTTGGCACATACATAGGAGGTGTAACCTTCAGTGGCTCTCTTGTTGCTTATGGGAAACTACAGGGTAAACTCCCCTTTTTCTTCCATAGTGTGCTCTTTTTTATAAGAGTGCGTGACATACATTCACTATCTATTTTCTTTAGCTTAATTTGTGCTAAGATGCTAAACAATCTTTCACAGATTGGTTACTCTCTAGAGACATTAGATTTCAAATACCATAATTATAATTAGAGTGCATATGAAGATCATTACTTTTAAAAACTGTAGTTGATCGATATATGGGTTTTATAGTGTCAGGCATGGATTTTGTCGTTACTTCACATGCATCAAAATGTGCTGCATATGGAAAATGAACATGTCAGAGAAAACTATGTTTTGCTTAATAATTGACAAAATGGACCTAGATGGGCTAGAGGCCAGATGTAGACTTACTTACACAAGTGAAGATTATGCTGATCATCTGAGAAACATCTGCAAAGTATAATTGAACAGAAATACTTGGGAAAGTTTTTTTTCTCATGCATTTATGATAGCTGCAAAATACAAAGTATTAATGCAGGCAATATTTATGGTGCCCTAAGTCCTACCCTTTGTTTTAATTAAAATACTAGATTTAATTAAAATACTAGATTTTAGATTTTCTTAGGAGGGCAGTCCTCTGAGAATCTGTAAACTCTTTCTGTCTCATTCTTTCTGCCTACAATACTGAATAGGATTATTGAGGGACTAAAATGGAAGGAGGGCATACCTTGAGCTCCTGGAAAATACAAATCTATTAGATGAATAAAGGTTTGTCATAAATTCAGGTGTTTTTATGTTGAATTTATATTTACTGATAAAGAAATAAAGTTAGTAAATGCAACACAAAAATAGTTTGTCATGAAAGGGACTGCCTGTGAAGGCTCCTGGATTGTGGATGAAAGGTGAAAGCAGAAGGAGTATGCTCCATCCCATAATTGGGTAGACCAGGTTGACCAGTCTCACCAGAAAAACACTTCAGGTGTTTTTCTCTTTGCAGCAACTCTCTTAGCAGCTTTGCATTCTGTTTCATAAGGCCCATATCACTGAAATCATGGTAGGATAATTAGTAGAAAAACAATGTTTAGCTAAGTATCTGGTCCCTGTGGACAACCTATAGTGAATTGTTACGTATAGGATGTAGTTTTGTTAATATGACAGAGGAAAAAAAGAGACCCGATATTGGGTCTGTGGGATTCATCCTGACTTGTTTTGTTGTGTCTGATTCGTTCCAGAAATTTAAATTAAATTATTTTCACATTTATAGGTGTCCTGAATTCCGCCCCACTCCTCTTACCAGGACGACACTTTCTGAATGCTAGTTTGTTAACATTAAGCATAGGTGGAATGGTTCCGTACATGATGGATCCAAGTTACACAACAGGGTTGACTTGCTTAGGATCTGTATCTGCCTTGTCTGCCGTAATGGTAAGTGTGAATTTATAATAAATTATAAATAGTGAGATATTTCACATTTTCACCGGGTGTGGTAAATAACCTGATCGGTCCTGTCTTCTGAGTACAGAGAATTCTAAAGAGCTTTTTAATGAAAAGGAGACATAAACCAAGATGATAAATATTCGGTGGAGACAGTTTTAAAGACTTTTGGGTTAACACATATTTTTAAGAAGGATATAAATTCAGAAGTAATTTCAGAGAATGATAGCAAAAATGCTCAATAGTATGGGAAACAAAGCTATGGAAAACAAAGCTTGTGTAACAGGGACTAAATAGCGATGATCTTCTTATGCCATATCCATCATTGGACATTGGCGATCATGTTGGTGATACTATTTTTATCAACAACCACACGAAAAAGTGCTGTTGACGTTTGTCCAAACCAATCCCTTAGATTTTGAAGCCATGATCATCATCTTCAAGGAGCTGGATTTTTTTTTTTTTTAAAAAAAAGGTTAGAATTCATGGGATGGATATATTTTCAATCACTGATTAAGAAAAACTTTGTCCTTATAAGAGCAAAAGTGGAAAGAATGAATTTAAAAACGTGACTCTTTATATTTATAAACTTTATATTAAAGCTGGGAATTTATTGAGGATGTTCCTGTTCCAGATGCACCTGCAGATTTGCATACAAAAATTCTCTTCAACTCTGACATTATGACTTAAACAGATTTCTCTAGCTTTGAATCTTCCTGTGTGATGAAAATTCCCAGAAATCCTGGCTAGTATAACTGTAGGCAAAGATATCTAGGAACTCCAGGAATTACAATCCAACATACCTGGAGGTTTCCTTTTGAGGTTAAGTCTGGTTTCAAGGACATGCCGAGTTTTTGCAATTAAACAAGTTCTTTATAAAGAGTGAAGGAATCGTAAGTAATGCTTTGCAGAATTCTTTTAGGCTCTCCTCATGGACATATTAAAAACTCAATTATGAATTCAACTTGCTCTTGACTCATGACCATTTGTTTAGTGGCAAATTTAGAGAGCACTGAAAACAGTGACTTACAATCAGTCCTCTCACTTAATGACAGTTGCAACATCCCCTGTGGTCATGTGACCATAATTCAGGCACTTGACAATCATTGTGCATTGAGGATGGTTGCAGTATCCTTCGGACTTTCTCAACTGGCTTCCAACAAACAGAGACTGGGAAAACTGTCAGGGAAGGTGACAAGTTGCAGTCATACGATGTCTTGCTTAATGACTGCACTGTTTATGATGATTTTTCCACTACTGAGGTCATAAGTCAAGGAATTTCTGAAAAATACATTCAGAGATGGACAGATGCTACTTTAAAACTTTCAAGTTGCAAACTTTTGCCGTTTCGAACAAACCTGTCCACAGGTCTAACCTAGAAGGCCCTGGAAGTCAGTAGAAAGTGGAAAGGGGTTAGTTTCTGGCACCCCATTTATGTAAGCAGTGTGCTGGGATCTGATCATTTCCTGTCTTCTCCAGACTTCACAGTCTGAAAATCCTCTTGCGTATTATAAAGTAATAATTTTAATGTACATGTTTTTTATTCTTCATAGACTTAAAACAGTCTCTTGGAATGCCACCGGTTCATAAGTAGAGCATTGTCTATATAATCATCTAAATTTTGTTTTATTTTGATCAGTAGTGGGATTCAAATTTTTTTACTATCGGTTCTGTGGGCATGGCTTGGTGGACGTGGCAGGGGAAGAATACTGTAAAATCTCCATTCTCTCCCTACCCTGCTACCCTGCTTTCCAGCTCCGTTCTCCTGTGCAGGGCAACCAAAGGAGATCCAGCCGATCAGCTGGGACTCAGGAGGCAGAGATTAGATGGAGGCGGGGCCAGTCAGAGGTGGTAATTGCCGGTTCTCCGAACTACTCAAAATTTCTGCTACCAGTTCTCCTGAACTGGTCAGAGCCTGCTGAATACCACCTCTGATTTTGATGCTACATTTGGTATATCTAAAAGATTCTATGGGTTTTGTTTTAAAGTAAGATAATGTCTGTAAGCTCTGGATTCTATTTACAAATGTTTTTAAGTTAGTGATAATGTCTGCATTAATATTTCAATTTTTGTCTTTTTTCCTTTTCACAGGGAGTTACTTTGACAGCTGCCATTGGTGGGGCTGACATGCCTGTTGTTATTACTGTCTTGAACAGCTATTCCGGCTGGGCACTCTGTGCTGAAGGATTCCTGCTTAACAACAATTTGTTAACCATTGTGGGTGCCCTGATTGGTTTTTCTGGGGCCATCCTGTCTCATATCATGTGTGTGGTAAGGAGATTTTGGAGATGCCCATTCCAACATTTATCTTTTTCATTACTCTTTCTCTGCCCGTGGGAAACGCTTTCTATTGTATTGTATATTTTGTTTCCTTTCTGGACATTTTCAGTCAGTTCCTTTTTAACCCTTTTCTCCTTTCTTCCCTCTCCTCATTTTTGCACGTATATCTTTTGATAGTATTGGTACGCACATGAATGTCACAAAACAATGTAGAACAAAATTGTGTTTTTGCCATGTGACTATTTAATGTTCAATGCTAGCAGTATCATATAAATAAAACTGCACGGGTAATTTAATAAAATTTGGAAAGGGAGAGGAGGGAAATTGGTGCAGGACAGAAACTTAAGTAGATTCTTTAAAAATATTCAATAAAATGAAAATACTGTAGGCAGCTTTTAAAGCTTTTAAAAGTTGAGAAAAACATATCTGAAGGACGAGGATTCTTTTGTGAGAGAAAAATTGCATTGTTCCTTCCTCAGCTGTAATTGGGCAGGGGCTTGCTTCAATTCATCTCAACTCAACAGATGAAAGTATCAAAAAGTTTAATTTATGGAATCCTGTTAATTTGTTTTAACTCACCATATTTCATTTAGAATTAATTCTGTTGTTACTACCATATATTGCTTTGGGTGCTAGTTTACTCAGCGGTGGAAAGTGGGGAGCAAGTTAGTTATAAAGATATTTTATTTGCTTTTTAAGATTGTTTACATGCCACAATTAATCAGAAGAGCCGATTAACTTGTTTGCTTGCTGCCTTCAGCTTCTCCTCCACAAGATTTCAAGTTTTCAAATGAACCATCCATTCCTGATTACAGTTAAAGGTATCATTCAAATTCAGCATACAGAATACTTTAAGTTTAAGCCAAACCTTGCCAAATATAAATGAACATAAACCAAGCAAAGGTTTAAGTACGTGGAAAAAAAAAACCTATTTTCGAAACAGAATATTCTAGGGAACTCCAGAATGTTCCATTGTTCTTAGGAATCCCACTTGATCACTGAGGTCTAATTAGCTCCCTTGGAAGCCTCTTTCATGTCAGAATACCAAGATAACATTAAGCAGTCTCTTGAAAGAGCTTATAATGCAACTTATGCAGAAAAGTGTTTCTTAGTATAGTATTAGTATTTTGTGTTTTCTACATAGAGGGAAATCTTTACAGAAGAGAGAAACCTTGTGGCAAAAAGCTACTAAATATTAAAAAAGTGAATTAAAAAAAACAAAGGGCAAAAACACATATTATCCTAGTTGAATCTATTGCAACAATAATAGCTTCTCCCTTTGCAAAGCAGACCTCAAATTTATGAGCTTGTACATCTATTTGCAATCCTGTCAAACATTACATATATGAAAGAAAAATTTAGGTAGCAGGTTAAACAGTACCAAGGTTAAAGTTCAAAGCCCTCTGTAAACAATCTGTTATTGTAATTTATTCATAGAATGTTTACACGGTTTGGTACTATTCACAAATATATCTATCTACAAAAGTCTATCTGCTAGTTGAAAAAAAAGTATAAAATAAATAAATAAACAAATCATTAAATCATTTGCATCTGAGGGCCTGGTAAAGAAAACCCATCACCCAGACCTTTGAAAGGTTGGGTGGAAATTTAGTGCAGATCAAAAGCAGGTTCCAGGCCAACTCCAGGATGTGTTGATCTTGAAAGTAACTTTGCCTGTCTGGTTTGCTTCTTTGAGAAGGAGTAAGGGTAAAAAGCATCTCTCTTTTGCCTGGGTTTGGGTGGTAGTGAGGATAGTGATGCAGTTCCTGGGTAAAAGCCTAGCCTAGGTGGTAGGAATTCATGCTCAAAATAGGAATGGTAGGATGGATGAATAGACCTGGGATAAGAGGCCAGCCAGGTGTTATATGCAATTGCCTGGTATGAGAAAAATAGTCTGGTTTAATAGAACAGTGTGATTGGCTGTTTTTTTAGTATTATAAGTGAGATTTAAGATATCTTATTTCTTGTTATTTTGCTGCTTTTCATTTTGTATATGGAAATGTTTGTATGTGCTTCCATTTCTCTGTTTGGGCCAAGTTTCTGCAGATATATTAAGACATTTTGTGGCCATTCCAGCAGAGGAATGGGGCATCCAGATTAAATATATGGAATACTGCAGACTCCTAGGTGTTTGAGATAGAAGTTCCTCTTGCCCCATATTGACACCAAAAGCACACCGTAGTTTAAGAAATGATTGCAAATGATAAGGTGCAAGAGCAGGCGCTTAAGTGACAGTGGGGCAAGATCTGAAGTGAATATGAATGGGTGTTAAAGCAGAAGTAGAAATTGGAATGAAGCTGTATTAGGTCTATTCCTGATGGCATTTCCAGAAAACTACTCAGAATGGTGCAGAGGCCTAGAGGTGGAGCTCTTGCCACACAATCAGGAGGCTGTTAGTTCAATCCTCGGTAGTGGCAGATATTTCTCTCTCTGTGCACAATGAGTAGATATCAGCTGTGAACCCTGCATTGGCGATAGGAAGGGTATCCGGCCAGTAAACACTGCTCCATTCAGTTGCCTGACTCTACCCTTATGTAAGGGGATTGTAGGGTCATTAAAAGACAAAAGAAATCTAGAAAACTACTGAACTATTGGGTTGTCTGGCAAGGACCAATTCTTTAGTAGCCCTGACTAGTTTGATTTTACCTCATTTAAACAATTTGTGCAGTGAATCAGATCACATGGCTCTAAGCAATACCATAACGCTCTAGTATTTCTGTATTTCCTTAGAAAACAGCTGATTGAAATGTTATTAGATAGCTTGTATGTCCACATCTCTATCGAATAACATCTGAGTCAATTCTGTTTCCTGAGCAAAAAAATAGACTGGGCAGCAGCTTGATTAAATACTATAATATCAGAAATTTGCTATTCCTCTGCTGCTGAGGGATAACTGTCTAATACTGGATACTGGATGTGTTCATGTGAGTATCCAAAGAGTGAATTTTTCTGTGTTCCTGTTAACATTTTCTGATTACATATTTGACAAGAAGACACACATATAGGTTAAAACCATGTTGGAAACAAGGTATCTGTAAATTACACATAAACACAGGGCGTTTCTTGTATGTAGACAACTTGCTAAAACATTTCACTTTTAGTTTTCTTTTGTTTCGATTGATGGCCACTAGATGTCGATAAATCTATATAAATGAGTTCCTAGAAACAAAATACCTACTAAAACTGATTGAGGAGATTTAATAATCTCTACATAATGATGGTACTACTTTCTCTTCCCCTCCTTTTTAAATAAATATTTTTAAAAGTAAGAATTTATTATTTTATATAATGAAAACAGTAAGTGCATTGAACTTAATGCTTTTTTTTCAGTAATCCTTAATTTTTTCATCTGTTCTGCCTTCTGTTCTTTTTTTTCATATTTCTCCAAAGAAAGACCTTTGATATCTTCCAATGCCTTCAAGGTAGAATTATGTTTGGTATTTGCATAATTGCATCATCTTGAGGTTGGAATATTATGGGAAATCAAAACTTGGAGTGGGATGAAGGAAGGACATTACCAAAAAAACACACTTTGCTGAAATAATAGCTTTGTGGAATTGTGTCCATTGTGCTTGGTTTTAAACGTCAACTTACTCAAAACACCCAGTTATGCTTTTTTTTTTTTTTGCTCCCTTAGGCTATGAATCGCTCTCTTGCTAATGTGATTCTTGGAGGATATGGTACTACTTCAACAGCTGGTGGGAAGCCAATGGAAATTACTGGCACTCATACAGAAGTGAATATGGATGGTGCAGTTGATATGATAAAGGAAGCCAATAACATCATAATCACTCCAGGTGAAATTGGGCTGCTCCTATTCTGTAACTGTTGAATGTAAACTGAGAATTTCCAAGTGTACAGATTGTTTGAGGCCAGCAAGAGGCTTCCATTAAACTAACTTTATGCCCGCAGTGTCATCTCATAACAGAGCATGTAAAAGTAAGATCATAGGGATTACACAAAACTCCCTTTCTCTACAGAAATACTCTACTCTTATACTCTTGGGTTTCTTAAAACTCAAGTTTCTTCTTATTAAAGAGTACATGAAGGTATGCCAAAAGACTCCTTCCTTCGGATTTTAATGTAGAATGTAAGATCCAAAAGGAGAACTGCATCAGGTTGTACTGTTTGAGGCCTGGATCATGGCCTCACCTCTGCTTGTGTATTGAGGAACACTATTGAATTCTACCTGCTTCTCTGTCATGCTGTAGAGCAGACTCAGGTTGAAGTCTGCACTCAGCAGTGGAAGTTCACCATTCATTGTCTCTAACCCAAACTTACTTCCAATGCTATTGCAATGAAAATGTGGATGGTAGGGTGGTGTATATACCATCGGAAACTTCTATAGCATCTAATAAATAATAATCTAATAAATAAAATGCAATATTAAGAGAATCACGTCACAGCAAAGTTTAAATGACTTAGTCTAAGGAATGAAAAGGGGAATGGTGCACCTATCCAGTCATATCTTTGTGTGACGTTGTTAATGATGTAGCCAAGATTGTGAATGAAATGGATGCCCAGTTTTACTGCCTGATTCCAAAGGGACAAATTGAGATCCATGCAAACTTAGCATAGGGGAATTGAGAAGGAAAAGTCATTTGTTTGCATTTGTCAACAATGTACAGAACAGCTGGAACAACTTATCCTCCAATGATAAATTTACGATCATCAAAGAATAACAGCCTATCCCAGGTTCTTGGGAAAGACTCAGTGGGTGGGTAAAAATATCAAATACAGTTTAAACATCTAGCTACTCTGCAACAAACACAAGAATAACTTAAACCTGTATGTTTCCTGACTCCTAGTGTACAGTATAAATTATATGTCTGGAGTTCTCTAACCCAAAGTTCTTATCTTGACTTTTTCTCATCTTAGTTTTGGCATTGCTTCTGATAATTGCATTCTATGTAGCAACAATTGTGTGTTCATAGGACTATTTCCTAAAAAAGTACTTTGCGGTAGGTTGACTGAATATAATATTTCAAGTTATAGCCAAGATAGATCCTAAGAGTAAAAAAAATAAAAGTAAAAATCATTTGCTCAGAATAACTTCATGGAGTAAGTTGATTGATTGATAATGGCCCCCAAAATCATCCACTGAATTTCCATGGATGAGGGTAGACTTAAACCAGGATACCATGGGAAAATTGGCCATGAGATTTATTTCATTTAGAGTTTTTAGACCACTTGACTCCCACTGACTCTGAGTGGCTTACAATTAGAAATACAAATTTATGAAAGAGAAAAAGAGATCATGAAATCCCCTAAAGCAATATATACCCCCCCCCCCAAATCTATCAAGCAGAGTTCAACCTTCACTTTGCCCTCAAACGTGGATGAACAGCCAGGATTGTAATAGATTCCTGAAAGCTATCAGGATGGGAATGACCTGGGTTCTTCAGGAGATTCAGGAGATTTCTGCAGGCACGTACTGCAACAGAGCAAATATGTTTCTTGGGTTTTGCAAGACAGTACTACTGAATTAATGGGACCTGGACCATGCTGCATTGCAATAGAAAACCAATCCACATTAGGACAGGTTCCCAACCCCCGGTCCATGCTCTGGTACCGGGCTGTGGCGCATTAGGAACCGGGCCAAGCAAGTGGTAGATGAACGTGTGAAGCTCAGTTTGTGCAAGCAGCAGGTGTGCGTGCATAACCATCTCCTCTTACGGTATGTAGAGCTGGAAAGATTGACGACCATTGCAATAGGATAAATGGTGGGATTCATATGTTTTGCACTGGTTTGGGCAAATAGGTTGTAAAATTACCCCCCCCCCCCCCCCCAAAAAAAAAAAATATCAAAGTGGATCCGTAGGTGCTGCGCTGTGCTGCAATGGAGAAATGGGAAAAGGAACGGCCGGCGTGATGGAAAGAGAAGGCCGCTTTCCTTCTTTCTTCTCCCTGTTCCTACTCCTTCCTTCATGATGGCCACTCCGTTTCTCATTTCTCCATTGCAGCGCAGTGCCCAGGATCCACTTTGATGGCGGGGGGAGGATAATTTAACAACCGGTTCACCTAGGGTCAGGTTGGCCATCACGAACCGGTTGTTAAATTATTTGAATCCCATCACTGATTAGGATACTCACCAGGAGGTGCTTAACTAAGAATATACACTAATCTTTTCTTGCATATTGTATCTTTATAGTTGGAACATGAAAGTTGTGGGTTTAAATTCTGGTAGAATCAGAGTTTTATTCAAAGGCATCATTTATCTTGGATCTTTTCCTCATTTTTGCAGGATATGGCCTGTGTGCAGCAAAGGCTCAGTATCCAATTGCTGATTTAGTGAAGATGCTGAGGGAAGGAGGCAAGAAAGTCAGGTCAGTGGATACATGGTTGGTTGGTGGTTTCTATTGTCTGTTTTAAGAGTTCACTGTTCTGGCAGAATTTCTATTTTTCTTATTTTTGATTTCTGATAAATAATAAAATTTATATAATTTATTTGAGAGCTTTTCTAATGCTGGGATCTTTTACATGCTGATACCTCTCAAAGTGGTTTGCTTACTTCTGGTAAAAAGTAAGGCAAGGCTCCTCAAAAGCTGGTAAAAACTTATGTTCTTTAATTAATGTATTTTCTTTATTTACCTCATCTTTTACCATAAAATGTCCAAGGTAACCAATGTGACCAAAAATTCTAATACAGGTAGTCCTCAACTTATGATCACAATTGAACCCAACATTTCTATTGCTAAGTGACATAGTTAAGTGAGTTTTGCTCCATTTTACAATCTTTCTTGCGATAGTTGCTAAGTGAATCACTGCAGTTGTTAAATTAGTAAAATGGTTGTTAAATAAATCTGGCTTCCCAATTGACCTAGCTTGTCAGTAGGTCACAAATGACCTTGGAACATGGCAGCCTTCATAAATATGAACCACTTGCCAACCACCTGAATTTTAATCACATGGCCATAGGGATGCTGTAACAGTCATAAATATAAAAAACAGTCCTAAGTTACTTTTTTCAGTGCCATTGTAACTTCTTCGAACAGTCATTAAACGAATGATTGAAAGATGAAGACTACCTGTAGATTCCTTCACACTCTGTTCTAAGAATACAAAGCCGAATTAGAAGCATCTAATTATTGAATTATCTCCTTCCATTTTCTTCGATTTCCGTGTGTTGTTAAGGTGTCAACTCATAAAATTTTCCTATGCCTGTTTTAGTAGTTGCCATAAAAAAAAAGGGGGGGGGAGGAAATCTGCAGCAGTTTGAAAGCGAAAGTACGTTCCAACTCTTATCTTTCAAAGACTAAAATAACAGAGCTTCTGCCTGCGAAAATATTTAATTGGAGAATGTGAATGATGACACCCTATGACTGTTGTAGCATCCCCACAGTCACGAGAGGCCAGGCGAGGACATGCGTGCCTTGATGTGAGTGATGTTGAGTTGGCCACGCCCAGCCAGTCACATGACCACCAAGCCACTCTCACCAACTAAGCCACACCCACAGACCCGATTTTACAAAAATTGAATCCCACCCCTATTCACAGGTGATTGTAAATTATGTATGCCAGAGTTGGCTTCATATAGGACTGTATCAGTATGTCGCCTCTAATAAATCCTTTGAAGTTTGGCTCGAGAATCATGATTTAATTAGAGCGATTGCTAGAATCCTGACATCCTGATTGGAAAGGCATGTAGCTGGAAGCAAATTTTGTTTTATAACGCAGATTGATGCCAAGTAAATTAATAAGATAATACATTTGAGAGATGCAGTTGAAGTCTGAAAATATCTGCTGTGAGTCTTGTTCTGTATGTTCTGCTGCCATACCTTCAGTGGTGGGCTACTGCCTGTTCAGACTGGTTCAACCCAACCGGTAGTTCTGATCATTAGCTGGCCCCGCTCATCCGCCTCTGCCCTATCCTGTCCTATATTTCCATCTTTCTCAGCTCAGCTGATTCACACAGCCCAGTGGATTTCTGTGCCTCAGCTGTTATACTTACTGGGGCTGCCTAGAATGTAAGCTGTTGGAGGTTCAAATTGGTGTTTTTTGAATGCTGCCTGCACTCACAAAACCAGTTATTATACCGGTTCCATCCCACCACTGCACACCTTGCCTATCCTTGAAAAGGAGGAGCAGCAACAGGCTCCAATTGAGAACAATTGTCTTGTGATCAGTTTTATGCTTTATTCAGAATAGAGCTTCTTTGCCTCTTGTACTTCACCTTCCGTTCACCCACTTTAAAGCCAAGATTGGGTCTTTTGAACTACTTTTCTCCAACGTGGTTCTTCATACCTCCCACTCAGCACATCTGGAGAACACCAGGTTGGGGGAAGTTTGTTATGTACTCCATTCGAATGGGGGCATATGAGGACATATTTCTCCCTTTATCTTTTATTTATTTATTTATTTATTTATTTATTTATTTGATTTGTCAATTGCTTACAAGATAATAAGTATAAGTAGATACATAATTATGAATACATGAAATGGGTACATATAAGAAAAATAAAAGAAACAATAGGACAGGGATGGTAGGCACGTTGGTGCGCTTATGCACGTCCCCTACAGACCTCTTAGGAAAGGGGTGAGGTCAATGGTAGACAGTCTAAGGTTAAAGTTTTTGAGGTTTGGGGAAGAAACTAGAGTCAGGTAGAGTATTCCAGACATTGACCACTGTTGCTGAAGTCGTATTTCCTGCAATCAAGTTTGGTGCGGTTAACCTTGAGTTTGTATCTATTGTGTGCCCTTGTGTTGTTATGGTTGAAGCTGAAGTATTCATTGACAGGTAGGACATTGCAATTTATGATTTTATATACCATACTTAGATCAGACTGAAGGCGGCGTAGTTCTAGGTTTTCTAGGTCTAGAACTTTAAGTCTGGTGGCATAAGGTATTCTACAATGAGTAGAGGAGTGGAGAACTCTTCTTGTGAAATATTTCTGGACTTTCTCAACTGTTTTAATATCAGATATGTAATGTGTGTTCCAGACTGATGAGCTGTATTCAAGTATTGGTCTAGCAAATGTTTTGTATCCTGAGTTAGTAGTATAATATTACCAGAGAAAAAGCTACGTAGGATTAGGTTAACAACTCTTAATGCCTTTTTGGTGATGTAGTTACAGTGGGCTTTAGCACTTAGATCATTAGAGATGAGTATTCCAAGGTCCTTTACAGAGCTTGGATCATCAACAAGATCTTGACTTTTATTTTCAAGAGCTTGTATTTTATTTTCTGATTTTTTTTTGCCAATATGTAAGACAGAGCATTTATTTATTGAGATTTGAAGTTGCCATTTGTTTGACCATTCTGATACATAGTCAAGATCTTTTTGAAGGGTAGCAGTATTGTCTGTGGTATTGAACAGCTTTACATCATCAGCGAAAAGAATGCAGTTGCTCTTAATATGATCACAGAGGTCATTTATGTAGAGTATGAAGAGAGTTGGCCTTGGGGGACACCACTATTGACAGGTACATAATTTGATAGGACATTCCCAATTTTGACCATTTGTTGTCTGTTTGACAGGAATGCTTCTATCCAGTTATGCAGTTGTCTAGAGATACCATAAGATTTTAGTTTTAGGAGTAGTTTGTCGTGTACCACTGAATCAAAGGCTTTACAGAAGTCTATGTAGATTACGTCTATTGCTTTGCCCTGATCGAGTTGTGTAGTCCATATGTTTTTGCAGTGTCGGTTTGGAGAGTAGGTTGTTTGTCTCTAAGTGGAGGATAATGGATTGGTTAATAATTGATTCCATGACTTTACAGGTGATGCAGCATAAGGAAATTGGTCTGTAATTTTCAACTAGGCTGGGCTCTCCCTTTTTGAAGATGGGGATGACCGTGGCTTGTGACCGTAGGTTAGGCAAGGAGCTGGTCCTGAAAGATTTTTCAAAGATTATGCTTAGAGGTTCGGCTATGGCAGTGGATAGCTTTTTAAAGAAGTAGGCACATATTCCATCTGGTCCAATAGAAAGAGATGGTTTTAGATTGCGTAATGCTTTTTCAACATTGTCTTCTGTAAAATTGATATGTATTAGATCATTGTAGTTGTCTGTGGTTCGACTAGGAAATACTGGGCATGATCCATTGCTGTTTACAAATACTGAGCCAAAGAATGTGTTAAAGATGTTGACTTTAATGGTGTCGTCGTTGCAGTCTTTACCATTAGGTCCTATCAGGGGTGGGATGGACCTTGAGTCTTTTAGTTTGTTGTTTACAAAATTGTAAAAAGCGCGGGTAGAATTGGTGCATAGAAGGTTTTCCTCTTGTTTAATGTCTGGTGGCATAAATTTTTGTATCGGCTTTTGAAATTGGTAACATGACCAGGTTTGTTTTTCCGCCAGAGTGATCTCTTTTTGGATTGAAGTTTTCTTATTGTTATGGGTAATCTGTTTTTTGTTTTGTTCTGGGAGTTGTTGTTGGTACATGTAGTTTGATGACTCTTTTGACTTCAAGTAAAAATATGCTATAATGTTCTTCAACAGTATTGCAACCAATGAATAGAGATTGCCAATCAAGGGATGAGAGATCGTTGTCTATAAGATCATAGTTGCCTTTTTTGAAGTTATAATTGGGGATTACATCATTGTGATGATTTTTGTGTGGGCGTATGTTGAGACAAAAGTCAATCATATTGTGGTCGCTGCTGGAAAAGGGTTCTTTAGTTTGTATTCCATAAATTAAATTCAAACTATTGCAGAAGATGAGATCGAGGCAGTTGTTTAGTCTAGTGTTGTTGGTTACTAGTTGTTCCAGTCCCAGATTTGTAACAGCATTGTAGAAGGTTGCGTGTGTGGGTTCAGTTGTACTTTCATTTAGGGTCCAGTCAATATGATGTGGATTGAAATCACCAAGAAAGATAAAAGCGTATGGGCAGGATGCTGCCCATGTTAGTAGTGTATTTAGCTTGTTTACATGTTCGATGTCATAATCAGGTGCTCTGTAACATAGTAAGAATCAAATGTGATATTTAAGGATAGTTCACAAATGATGGTCTCAGGAAGAACAAGCTCCTGGGTAATTTGGATGTTTTTTAGATGTAAGGACTTTTTATAGAAGATAGCAACACCACCTCCTCTACAAATTTCACGATCTGATGAGTGAACATGATAGTCACTTACAGTGGTAATGGAGTCAGGGAGAGATGCATTGAGCCATGTTTCACAGACAAATATGATGTCAAATTTAGCCATATTTAGTAAGAGGAGAAATTCAGGTATTTTATTCACAAGGCTTCTTGCATTGAGTAGCTTGCATTTAAGGCCAGCAGTAGTTGGAATTGAGGTAGTTAGGGGTGTGCATGCCTAGTCTTGGGTGATGGTGGATTGGTTGAGGTAGGGTTGTGGTTGAAGGTTAAAGCTGAATTGTGTGAA